ATCACAAGGCGGGTTGACATTGCCTGTCTGTCCGTATGTCTGCACAGGCTCTCAACACGGACCTCAACGACACTCATCACTAGATCAAGGGCCAGATTTCCTGCCTCACTGAGCAGGTGGAGGCGCTGCAGTGGGACTTCGGACGTCTGGTGGATGCATTGGGGGGTGGGGGTGGGGAGCGACTGGGGTGGCAACAGACCGCATTGAGCAGCTGCCGTGAACTGGCGCCACCACCGCTTCCACAAACCAACAGCAGCAGCAGGCCGTCTCTGCTGCTGCAGCACCAGCAGCAGCAGGTGCATGTGATGATGAATGCGACGACGTTGATGTCGTCGAGGCGGGCGGGAGGTTGAGCACCTACCTTGGTGGTGTGTGAGGGGCAGCTCTCCGTGTCCTAATTAGGCGTCTTGGTGGCGAGCAGTATACCTATAACCTATAACCTCTGCCTGGTTTGGCAGGTGGGCTGTTTCGTCAATGTCTGCTAGGAGGTCCGCCAGGACACCCTGGTCGAGGAGTTCGGTTTCAGGTGGAACATGAGGGTTAAAGTGGTCATAGTTAAGTTGTGAAGAATGTGCAGCTGGTCTATGCTCACGTCAGGGGACAAACGGCTGCCATGTTCCACCTCATCCTCAGCTAATAATACTGTGACGAGCCCTTCCTCCCTAAAGTTGGCCCCAGCTGCTTCCTCATTGTACCTAGCGACTTCCTCGGTGGTGCCAGCTAAAAAGCATGCATTGGGGGGAGAAACCCAGTGAGCATCAGCAACTCTCGTTTGCAGCAGTGCAAGCTCCACAGCCTGCGGCTTAGAGACGCAAATAGTGTTCAAGCACTGTATCCATTCTAAGTTGGAAGAATCTTGACGGTGATTTGTATGTAGCTCGATTTCACGGAATTTGTTCCACACATCCCAGCGATATGGCTGGTGTATGCACAATTCCCCATGGCAGCAACGATTACATATGGCAGGCAGCTGATGTTTGTCCCCTCCTAGCAGCACAATTTCCCCGCAAAAGGCTCAGTGCAAGTTGGTGTGGCATCAAGGCAGCGTTGGTGCACCTCATGCAGCAAGTCGGCTTTTGCCATACTGACCTCGTCAATACCCATCGGTAGGAGGTTTTGGTCTGCTGCCCCTCTGGCAACACATCCAAGCCTGGTGTGCAGTATGGGCTGCTCGTTTTGTTATCACAACCCTAGGGCTGCAAACTGGCAAACGAGAACAGAAACAGGCGCAACGGACACAGATATGCAGGCGGGTGGAGGTATCCACCCCTGGGTCTGCATGCTTTCCGCCTACCTCCTATGCACAAACCCCGCTTTCCAGCCATGGGCCCTGACAACCGTGAGCCCAACTGGACCCTGGCTTGGGACTAGTGACCTGCCGAAGGACATCAGCCGGATTGTGGGAGCCCTGGGACACTTGCCGCCACCAGAGGACATCGGGACCAACCTGCTGACACCTGGTGACTGGTTCTGGGTGACTGCATTATGGGGAAACCCGCTATATTCCCCAATGCTAGTTGATGGACGGTGGTGACCTGGGATAAAGTTAACCTGCGAGCCGACCAGGAACGGAGTTGGGCCGCTGTCGACCCGGCAGATTCCGTTGGATGCTGGTGGTGGGTGCGGAACCTGAGCGATCCACTGAGAAGTTGGCTCGGGTGACTAGATGAGGGTGCCCCGAAATACCGGGGAAGGCAGGGAGGGTTTCACAGGGTAGCTGCCACGGGTGAAGATATACCCCCCTGTTCCACACGTCATACATACATACATACATAAGCATGATCAGGCGCCATGCTACAGTGCTTTCGATGGCACGCTTCCACAACACCCCGTGGGTAACTACCGTATGGGTTTCAATCGAACACTACACGGCAACCGCTCCGCACGTTTACACCGCTAGAAATAACGCAATTAAAGTTTAATATTGTCATACATGTACGAACACAGACCAGAAATGGGATACCCAGACACACAGACGAGTTCATGTGGCTCCTGCTGGCTTGCGCGCGCATACACTCGCTTGAGGGGGGTGAAAGCGAAGGAAAGAGATACATGTCGCCTACATAGGCAACATGTAACCGATCAACCACCCACATGTACGACCACTGCACGATCGTCCATGTATAATACACATTTGTCTGACCGTGATCACTTTCGTACTCCTGTCGGCCCACCCACCCATATCCTGTGCTACTGCTGCCGATTTAGCCGGGCAATGCGTGCGGTCTTCCGTACCACATATATACATGGTATTGCAGATCTGATTCTCATTCTCGGTCATGCCTTTTTACGGCTGATGCAGGAGGAGCGCAGTCGCCTGTGGGCTCATGTGTTCACGTAGCTCTCCATGAACGTGGTGTGATGCAGGCGGTGCTCTCGGGCCATGGACTGAACGATGAACAACATGCCGTTGCGGGCGGGGCCCAGACGGGAAAATTCGTCCGCTGTATGTTTGATTGTATGTACGTCCGTACGTGTGCGTGTTGGCGACGAAGGTTGGCGGTGAACAGGGGAGGGGAAAAAGGAAAAAGAAGGAGGCTTGGTACGGAAATAGGGTTTAAGTAAGGAGTCAAGATAGTGGAAAGTGATGGAGGAGTGAGAGAAGTGGAGGCGTGGGAGAAGAAAAGCCTGCATGCAGGCTGATGGATACGGCCCATATGGATCCAGAGAGACGAAAACAAAAAAGGGGAGGCCTTGCTTCCTTGAGGATTTCGACACCACTCCCAACCCAACCCTGGCAGTGTCCAGCCCACTCCCGGCTACCACCACCACTACCTCCACCACTACCTCCCTCCCATCCCATCCAATTCCACTCAAGTAAGAGGTGCTCTCCCCACGTATAAACTCCTCTCCCGAAACCGCATCTTACATTCCAGAACCCCATTCCGCGCGCTTCTCTCCACTCTCCCACCCCCAGCCCCCTTACCACCGTGCACTCCCCCCGCAAACCCCAGTGGGGCACCCCGCACCGCCCCGGGGTCCCAGGCGCTCACGTGCAAAGTTGTAGGTCCAGGAGCACACCAGCACCACCTTGAGGGGGTCCACCAGCTCTCTGAAGTTGCAGGAGGGCTCCCCGTCAAACTCCCCGGGGTGCTCCTTCGCGTAGGCCCTCAGAGCCGTCTGGATGTCCTCACGAACCTGCCAGGCCACACCCAGGTCGCAGACCAGCCTGGGGGGGCAGGAGGCAAGGGGGACAAGGGGGAAGACAAGGTGGGGCAGGGATGGGGGAGGACCGGGAGGAGCAGTGAGGAGGAGGAGGGGGTGAGAAGGGGGTGAGGCTTAAGGACGAGAAGGAGAGGTGGGAAGAGCGTTTAATATATACATGCAAACGTACTGATGGTTACAAGTTGTGAACAGAAGGCGTTGTCGGGCTATGGCAAACACACGCACACAGACATGCTGACATCTCTATCACCTGCAAGACTCAGACTTCGATTTTGATCGTGTCCAATTGATGATTCCCTCCTCTATGAGGGAGGTGTTGGGCATGTACACCCGCTCGCCAGTATACCTGGGAGGGGAGTGGGAGGGGAGTGGGAGGGGAGTGGGAGGGGAGTGGGAGAGAAACTCTATGCAATAAGCAAAGGAGTCAACTGCATAGTGACGCCCAAGCCTGGTAGAGTCCAACATTACGAGGTGGGAGGCAGGGCAGTAATCGGGGCAAGGCGCAGGAAATCACCAACCAGGGTCCCCAGATCTTAGACAGTCTGCCTTGCACTGCCGGACTACGGACATACATACAGCCCGTCCCCCTGCCTCCCCCCCGTGTAGCACATCGCCGCCCAGGCACCAACCCACTCAACCGAACGCCAAAACGCACACGTGCGGTGACAGACAAACAGTGGTGGTTTGTATACCCAAAGATCTGCACAAGAGGGTGTGGTGGCAGTTTGTGCCACACAGACCTGCATGAGAATTTCTGCATGGGGCTATATTCTCCCTCCGCACACCTTTTCGTTTGGATGCATGCGACGGTCTTTTCGGACTCACGCAACCCATCGGGTGCTGGTCATCCGATTCCTCGGCTCTCGCTTTCCCCCCATAGGGACATCGCCTCAACGGCCCCTCGCTCCCGTTTTCGCACAGACGGAGAGTCCCAAGGCTGCCAAGCCAACCCGCCACCTCACCCACTCACTTGACAAGGTCAGTGTACAGCAGGCTGATCTTCTTGACCCGGTACATATCCGTACCAATTACAATGCAATCCCCAACATCGTACGGATGAGTCACGAACAGGAACAACATACTTTCGAACATATTCCTGCGGCGGTGGACATTGTGATGGGCAGGTGGTGAGGATGTCACTCTGAAGAGAGAGAGAGATGATGCGAGGGGAAAGTAGTGCTCCAGGCAATAGCCTGGGATATTTGGAGCAGAGAGTAATGGGGCGGAGCGGAGGGGTTCCCCCGGTGTCTACATACATACACGGACCATTGCCCCCGGGAGATCCCGGGATCGAGACCTATCCGGGTTGAAAATCCTTCCGATGGTGGAAGATATAGTGCCCCTAGTCGATGGACGGTGATGACCTGGGATAAAGCTGACTTGCGAGCTGACCAGGAATGGAGTTGAGCCGGAGTTGATTCGGCAGATACCGTTGGATGCTGGTGGTGTGTGCGGAACCTGAGCGATCCACTGAGAAGTTGACTAGAGTGACTAGATGAGGGTGCCCCGAAATACCGGGGAAGGCAGGGTTTCGCCAGGTAGCGGCCATGGGTGAAGATATGCCCCCCTGTTCCACACATCATACATACATACGTACTGAACAATAAACACAATGAACACTGAGCACATATGCACAGTGTGTGCGTAAGTATCTCTGCTAAAATACAGCGGCGGTTGAAGGTGGTTGAAGGTGGGCAGAGCCCCATGCATGGAGATATGCAGGCAGGCACGAAGTCCCCACCCCAACACCCCAACACCCCACCCGCACCTTCCCCACTGACATGATTACTTACTTGACGCTGCAGTGCAGTCCAGGCAGGGAGAGGACGCCAGCCAGGGAGGGCGAGGGAGGGAGAGGGCGAGGGAGGGGGC